ATTTTTGTAGGTAGGTCTGCCTGTGGCTTGAATTCTTTTCTCACAGCTTGGCTTCCTTCCCAGCCACGTGGGCTCTGTGCTTGGAGTGATCTTTCTGCTACTGTTCTACCTTGTTATCCTGCAGAGACTCAATTCCAAAGTCATTGGAGTTGATGGATTATAACTTTTATCTCTTGGCTTGAATAGCACAAGAAATTCCATCCTTTGTCTTTCCTGTCACAGTTTCCCTGTAGTGACATCTCTATTAAAAATTGCTCAGCAAAAACATCTTGGGCACTGTCAATGAGTATCACAGTTATTAATCTTTTACCCTGCAGTATTTTTTCATTTCTGTATTTTATCTCTTGGAAAGTTTCCTATCCCTGCTTTGGCAGTGAATAATAATAAAGGACTTTTTTTTTTTTTTTTTTTTTACTGCACAATTTAGGTCTGACATTCAACAAATATATAAGTACTTCCTTCCCATCTTGCCCACATCCAAATAGTTGGAGTTGGATACAGATAATGAGAAAATACCATTGGAAAGGCTTATGCAGTGCTATTCCATGAAATATACCCAGTTTACAAGTGGTTTTGTGAAGATTTGTACAGATTTCTGCATATTTGACAGATCTGTCGTTGCTTGATAAATGAACTTTAAACAAATCGAAGATATTAATTTTTGAGGGTTTTATTTTATCAACGTATTTTAGACCTTTTTTTTTGGGGATTGTGTTCTATCAACAACAGTTTGCTTCTATGGAAATGGTGCACAATTCATGGTGTGTCGGACACTTTGCACCCAGCCCTGTGTGCACTAACAGGCTTCAGCTGAACTGAACATTTTCCCACGCAGGAAAGATTTCTTCTAAATGTATTAAAAACGAGGGGTCTCATCTTTAATGAGAGGAGTGCAGAAGGTGTTTGCAGTTATGTTGTGTGTGAATCTCATGGCTTGACGAGATGGTATTTGTGATTTCCTCCCCCCTTGCACAAATTTGTGTGTGTGTCAGTGGCAGCACTTTCACTCCCCTGGTGTGGAGGAGCAGCACTCATAGACTGCACTGTTTATCAAGCTGTGTTTATCACAGCTCTGGGGGAGGGCAGCTGTGAATTAACTTTTTTTGGGGTGGTTGCTGCTCTGAATCTACTGTTACCCCAACCAAGGAGAACTGTACTTAATGATGAGATCAATTTTAAGTATTCAGTGTTAAATCTTCCTGCTACACATAGGGCAGCTTTCACTTTATCTTAACCAAATTAGGCACAGTGGAGCAGAGGAGCCTGACTGCTCTTTATTTTTGGCAAAAATCAAGCTGCAGATTTTAAATTTTGGTTAGAAACTGTCTCATATTGAAGTTTCAGCGCTTTAACCAGGAAATAGCAGAGGGAGGAGAAAACTGGCTGTGTTTGTGGCTCTTTCTGGGCAGCATTTGCCCGACTGGAGCTGCATTTTCAGCAGAGAGCAGACAGACAGAGGCTGGGTCAAGGCTGGCACTGCACACCAGTGCTGCTCTGAGAACCAAATCTGGCTCTATCTAGGCAGGAGGACATCACAGAGAAATATTATGTATTTGATTTCTTCAGAGTGAAAAAAAAAAGTCTTGAGGGCTTTCTTCCTGTTTTAGATTAGTTTTAGTGAGTGTTGCTTAGGCTTTCTTTTATCAAATGCTCCTTTTATTTCTCTGGTTGTTCTTCCATTTTGATCACATTTACAGTAATAATGCATTTCTTCCTCCCACTCCTCCTACCCAACAGCCACCCACAGATAATTTGTGACCTGCTGGCTTGTTTATCAACAGCACTGATGATGGTGATAAATGTTCCACTTTGTTTTGGAGCTATTTTGCAATATGGGGTGATACTTAAATGAGGTGCATTTACTCAGCCTGGCTGTGACAGGCCCTGGATCTTTCACAGTACAAAGCTGGCTACCACTGAAAAGGTAACTTACTATTATTATTAACTTATTATTAAGGGTTTATTCCTTAGGTATAATTTGTTGGCATGTGCTTCCATCTGTTTGGAATGCTGTGCCTTGTGCTCCTTTCACTGGTACAGTGTGTCTGGTTATGGTGGTCTGTCAAACCGAATCATTGAGTTGATCTAGGCAGGAAAACCCAACCAAACCAAAAAATCTCCTTTCCCTTCTCTGCCTCCTTTAGGCTGGATCGTTTCTGGCACTCATTTTACATCGCATTCCCACAAAACATTGCTTTGGTTCAGCTGAAGAACAAGTGAATTACTGAGCAGGTTTGGGGAAGATGAGCAAAGGTTTGCCGGCGTTGGTTGCTCTCAAGCTGGAACTGGACTTGGGGAAAGAAAAAGAGAGTGGAGCAAGAGCAGTGCAGGATTTAACATTTACAATACAGATGCTTGTGAAATGCTTTTTGCATAACATTTTGAAACACCGGTGTGCTGAGGGCCCATCTAGGCTGTGCTTGTTTTTACAATTAAGATTTAATTACAATTAATAAGTCTTGTTGTCTTTCGTGAACTATGTGTTTTTTTCTCTCTGAATGTGTTAGATTTGGGTTTTTTTTTCCTATGTGGAAAATTTGTTTTTTAATGCAAATTAATACTCCATCCAGAAAGTGCTTTGTCTGGGTATATCTAGGGAGTAATTAGGGCTTGGAGCCCTGATAAATTTGGTGGGTGAGCACCAAGGAAATTTTGCATGCTTTTTACCAAGCATTTTCAATTATTGCAAAACCCCATAAATCTGTGAGCAGAACTGAATCTGTTTTACTTCAGGGTGTTCCTGCCCTTAAAAGCCTTGACAGAAAGCAGAAAATTTATGTAATTCTGAGCAATCCTTTACATGACCATTACAACCCCCTCTTTTACACAGCCTTAATTCTTTGAAGAAGCTGAATTTTATCCATCTTGGCCTCAAGCTGCCTGATCTAATAAAACCCTACAGCATTATATTGCATATTAGAGTTGTAAAAACTTATGGCTGTTCTACTAGCAGACGCTTGCACGTGGCACCGTAACCGAGCTGCATCTCTTTCACTCGGGTTCAGAAGGGGAGCTTTGGATTTAGCTGCAAAATCTGCATATGACTAAGAATCAGGAGACATCCAACATCCCCCACCCCAGCAGTGTGAGCAGCAGGGCTTCTGGAGAACTGCCTCTTCGCACTGGCTGGGTGTGCAGCTGTGCCACGCAGGGCTCAGGGGCTTGGCAGCCCTGGCAGCTCCTCTCTCTCGTGACTTTTACCCACACGGGTGTTTTCAGCGACGCCCAACCTGCGTCCCTTTAGCGTGGCCTGCTTTTGGGCACGGGGGCTGCAGTGCTGTGCCCAGCCCAGCAAATCCATCTGGAACTGCTGACGTGTCTCAAAGCTCAGTGGGATGAATTAGAGCTGGAGTAGGATCTAAATTCTGTTTGTTTGGTTTTGCTTTTGTTTACTTCAGAAAATTATTTCCTTCGGTCACTTTGTTTTGATTTATTGTTTTGTTGTTTCAGTGGTGGCACAGAGTTCTAAGCCAGGTTTTTCAGATTTAATATTTTGAAGCTAGACGCCTGAAAGCCAAGTTTGGGCCCTCCAAAATAAGGCTTAATCCTCATTAGTCCCCAGGGTGTGCAGCTCCCATTGAAATCAGTCAAATGCAGCTTTCCATACTTCAGCGTGATTTTGTTATGATTAAACAGACACTCGTAAAACTTGGGCAAGCTGGAATCAAGTTTCACGTGCAACTGAACTGACATTTTTTTTTTTGTCCTTAATAGGATCCTTGTAATTAGTGATCACCAGCTGCATTTAAAATGTGTGAAATGCCTGCAGGAATTGGAATTAGGAGTGGGGGAGGGATGCCAAACACCTCAGCTCTTCTGCTGGCAACCTTTCATTTCAGATTTCTGCTCTGCAACATAGATGAAGAAGCGTGCTTTCTACAAAATGTTCAGCTGTGGTTTCACATTAAGCTGATGTTACCAACAAAGGAGTGACTTGTAATTGAAAACTTCTTTGCTTATAAATAAATAGCAGGGTTAGCTCTTGATGGCTCCCCAGTTTGTTTCAGTGGGCACATTGCTGTCCTTGCCACGGGTCAGTTTTCTAATTCTAGCGACTGTCGTAATGATTGTCACTTGGGTCTGAAGAGAAAAATGAGGCTTTTGGGCTCGTTTTGTGATGAACTGGAGGTGTCCCACAAGGCCTGAAGGAACATACCCGGGGCTGTCCCCAAACTACAGCACAGGAGCAAATGGCTCCTCTGGATGAAGCTCATTCTTGGTACCCCCTGTTCTCCCCTTTGGAATGGAGAGGTGCTGCTTTTGTCATGTTTAGAGATTTAATCCAGCACACCCCACTTCTAAGGGATTATCTTAATTATCTTAATACATCTTGCCCTGGTGTATGTCCTTTTCTCTGGGAGGGCTGTTTTTTGGGGTTTTTTTCTTTCTTCTCTCCTTTCTCAGTGGAAATTCAGTGCTGGACAGTAACTGGCCCTGACCAGAGGGAAGCTTGTTAGGAGCTTGTAGATTGCTTGAACAACACCCTCATGCTCAATAACTTACACATGGCTCCTTTTTTTAACTTTCCAAGTGATTTGGATCAGAGACATTACTCAAATTCTCTCCATTTTGGAGGAGTAGTTTTTACTGGATGCTTCCATGAATATGCTGGACAATACCAGCACGTGCTTGAACTCTAGAGTATTTAAGATAATGGATTCTTTTAGGGTGAATAACAGCAGCTCTTTTTGCAGCACTTGCAATGTTCCTACAACTGCTGGCACTTTGTTCCTCGGGTAGATTTGTGGCACCACAGAGACTGTTATTGCTCCTGCCCTTGCAGAACTGTGGTTGGATGGAAGAGAGGATGGTGCTGGGAAGGAAGGAGTAGATTCCTGGCTTTTTGTCAACCGTTTATGAATGAAGAATAAAATAGAGATACAGACAAGACACGATTATCTCTTCTCATTGTAGCTGGATACTTAACTGTTTCTTCTTAGTTTGTTAATCTTTTTATTTTCCCCCTTTAAAGTCTGCCTTTTCCCCTCCCTGTCCTTAATAGATTCACTGTGAGCAACTCAAAAGGAAGAATAAAGAGGCAGAGGATCATCTGGAGTTGTGCCTCCATCAGTGTGCTGAGATGGAAAGGTATGAACTATCTTAATGTTACATGGAGAAACTTATTTTTATTTTTTGAAAGGTAATTTACTTTGCATTACTTGAAATCTGTAACTGAGTGTTCCCTGTGTGTCCATTTATCTTCCAGAGAAACAGGTTAATACTTTTTTTTCTTTCCTGCTTTAATCTGTGCTGTGGAGATCTGGTGAAATATGTGAAATATGGAAATTTTCTGTAGTCAGAGGAGCAAAATCACAGGGAATGGTGTAGCTTGGAAGGGACCCCTGGAGATTGTCAGGGCTGACCTCCTGCTTCCAGCAGGGCTGGGTAGGTCAGGTAACTCAGGGCCTGCCTGGGTGAGTTCCAAAAACTTCCAGGTATGGAGATTTCACAGCTTCTTTGGGCACCTGCTGCTTCACAAACTAGTAATATTTCTACTCCTAATATTAATACTAAGTATTAAGATGCTAAGTATTAAGTGCAGTGTGTGGATCTGGGAGATAGAGAAAAAGAAAAGTTGCTTTAAGGTAACTGCAGATTGTTTGGCGAAGCTTAAAAAATAATATCCTACCCCTTCTTTCCTCCTGTAAAGAAACATTTTGTCTCAGGTTAGTTTATTGTGAAATAACTGAACTGGGACTCCCTTGGGGTTTCCCATTTACTCCAGACACTGTGAGCTGTTGCCGGTGTAGCTTACCTGCAGCCTGTTTCTGTGAAGGGAGGGAGCCACCGGCTTCCCGTCTGCCGATGGCATCCCCGGTGAACCCGTGTGCCCTGGAACTGTCACACTGACAGCCATTGCAGGGAGACTCCTCTGCCTCCCAGCACCCCCTGCCTTTCAGCTTGGCTGCCAAACAGCTGCCCCGGGCGAGGAGTTGGCCTGACTTAACAGAGCTGCTTGTCCAGCGTCAGCTACTGCGTGTTCTGTTTCCTGGCTGTGTTCCCAAATGGTTTTCATCTGCTCGCTCTGCTTGCGCTGTCAGTAGGTCACTGAAGGTGTCTCAGTGTGGGAGACACAGACCCAAAACGACTCAGGGACTTGTTTTCCTCCAAAGGTCCAACCCGGCTGTGAGCCCAGGTCAGTAAAGCCTTGGTGAAGCATCCACATCGTGGCCAAGGCCTGAAGCAGGAGGCGGGAATGGGTTGTTTGTGGTGGTGCCTGATTCGAAAAAAAAAGAATGGTGATGTTAAGGACCAGTTAAAAATGCCAACCATGCAGCTGCGTTCATCAGAATCACAGCTTTCCACAGAAACAAGTGCATGCAAGATATGAATAGACCTGTGGTGCTTAAGCTGTGTTTGTAGGGCAAGCAGCCAGTCCAGAAAGGGCCACGGGAGGGAGACCAGATCAAAAAAGCACTTACTGAGGATAGGAAAGTGTCCTGAAAGGGGTGCAAGCTTTTCTAGGTATTGATCTTCACAGGAAAAAAGAGCCAGCACTTGAAAACATATAGATCTGTCCACCCTCTCGGTCTTTTAACTCTTTAGTTTTCAGTTCTTTCAATGCTTTCCTGCCACCTCCCCCCAGCTCTCTGCACGTGTGGTGTTCTGTGGGGGAATCCATCTGCTCACAAAGCACACGCTGCTTGGTAGCTCTTACCTGGCCCAGCTTTCCATGACTGATTTTCACGGCAAAACTTTGGCTCCCTTTCACTGGTGATCCGCACGCAGGTACCTGAGTGCTCCACTTGATGCTTCTGCAGAGAAACAGGCATCTGCAACTCGCTCATGGCTCTCTTAAAGCCTCAGAAAGTTGGTGGAAATGATTTAATTGGCTTTCCTGAGGTTGCTGTCCATCAGGAGGACGTTCAGTTAGTCTTGGTAGGACAATTAAGCGGAAGATCCAGGTGAAAAGGGACTGATGCTCTTTTCCTGATGCACAGGCTGGGCAGGGTGCAGGAGTGAGGCAGCAGCATGGAAACCCAGTCCCCAAGGACAGGAACCTGCAGGCAGGGAGGGGAGCAGCACCCTAGGATCAGTAACATGTCACTTAAAGCAAACCAACTACTCCTGTTGCAAGTTGACTGAGGGGGATTATCAAACTCTGAGAGACACTGAGTGCCTGTGTATCAGTACCTTTCCTTCCCTCTTCACTGAGTCAGGATGGGCCATAAGTGCAGCTTCACTTAATCACTGAGCCCTTTTTTGGTTTTGTTTTGTTTTGTTTTTTTTCTTTGGCTTCTTTTCAGAGAAACCAGATGCGTTTCCATTAAGAACATGCACCTCTTTTGTTGTCATTTGGGTAATTCTTAAAATTAAGCAAAACTATTAAAGAATAATTGTTTCTGTTCGCATTAACAGCCCACAGCTTCTCCAGATGTGGCATTTGACAGCCAAGCAGCTGCTGGCTATTAAATGTGCCTTAAAAGCCCCATTCCTTTGTCGTAAAGGGAGCAGGAGTGTAGGGACGTTTATGGGGTGATAGGCAGATGTTTTGGCTACATCAGACTGGAGCGAAAGTTTAAGTGGTTTCTCTGTTAGAGTCACAGTGAGCACATGTTTTAACCCCTCTCATGCACCCTGTCTTCTGGAGCTGCCTTCTTGAGGCTGCAGTGAGATAAGTTCTAATCTCACACTTACCTCCAAAGCAACAATGCATTTTTTTTTTTTGGCAACATCTGGGACACCTCCCTCTGCACCTCTGCCAGGGAGATCTCAGCTGCTGCCTGGTTGGCTTTCCACCTATGCCCTTGAAATACTGGGTAAATCTTTGAGTGTGAAACTTAGGTTAAAAATTTAGATTGGAAATAATTTAAATTTTTTTTTATTTTATTTTTTCCCCCTAAACTTTCCTTTTAAGTATACACTCCAAATCCTCAAAGGCAGGTGTGCTTTTTGTGTTTGTACCAGCACAGTATGCTTTAAAGCCAGTAAACTGGTTTTATAGTGGTACACGTGAGGTGGAGCACAGAACTTGTGGAGCTCAATTTCAAGAGTTTGGCCTCAAATTCCCAAGCCTAAACTTTGATGGGGACCCTCTTGGTGGGTGTTGAGTACTGGAATAACGCCACTGATCCTCAGGGAACTGCACCACCTTGTAACTATCCTTTATCAGCTCAGAATCTGCTAAACTCTAAGAGCTTGTGAGGCTGCAGAATTGCGTTCTGTAACAAAAGTCTTTCTGTCTTCTTGGCAGAATTTCGTCCTTCCCATTGCTTATTGAACCGGAAATTCTTTATTTAGTCTTAACTGGATAAGTTTTTAATATAAAAATCCCGGTGTATTTACGTGAAAAAAAATCTATAAAACTGAATTTGAAGCGAGCAAAAATCCTTTCAAATCACATGGAACTCAAGAGAATAGGCTAGGTCTATAGGTACAGTCATTTTTAAGAATTATATCCCTAATTTTATTGGTATTTCTAGTCCAAGTTACATTAAATATTCTGTAATTCAGTCTCGTACTCTCCCATATTGTGCAGCCCCTGTTCTGAAGTGCACTGTCATCAACAGGGGAAGTATGAACAGAAACGTTTGGTCTTGGAATTTGTCATTTTTTAATTGATCCAGACCAGTTCATCCTCCGTAATTCAATGCAGAAATCGATTTCTTTCCATGAATCTGCTCCCTGGGCTTAGCCAGGCAAGACTCCTACATCCCAAGTGCCCACCCAAGGGGATGGAAGCACGTGTTTAACCCTTGGACTCTGGAATTCATTTCCCGTCAAGATCTGATTCTGCAGTGTCGGAGCCTGGCTGTAAATCCTGCCTTAAACCCCTTTCTCACTGTTGTTTATGGTGTGTATTTGTGCTTTCACCAAGCACAAGAGAATGGCCCGGGCACACCAGCCTCGAAATTAATATTTCAAATGGAATTACATGCCCTGGGTATTAATACTGCGCAATAAATGCCTTGGGATGTGTTGTACGTGTGCTGTGAGTGAGGAATAATGCCAGTTTCCAGTGAAAACCAGGGGGAGCCAAGAGCTCACAGATGGTACCAGCAGCAAAGCTGTCACTCTTTAGGGTTTTGGTTATTTGGTAAGCTTGTATTTCTCAGCCTTCAACCCGTGCTGCTACAAGCCCGAAATATTTGGCTCATCATTTTCTGGCTCCCAGCTTGAAAGTGGAATTGCTGTAAAAAGGTACGGAACCATTCATAAATAAATCTTTAAAATTATTATTTAGAGCATTATGCATATTATAATGTTTTAAATAATGTCAATTATTATAATCAGGCCAGTAGGCTCTAGAAATTGAAGTGGCACGAAGTTGTCCCGTACAGAAAAATTGAAAACTGCTTGAAAGGCAGCTGGAAGAAATGAACACATGGGAGAAAGGAAAACACCTTTACTGGGGTGCACAGTCAAGTTCTGCATGGATATGGCAACTCGCAAACCAAAGGGAATTTCTTGCTCTTGGAGGACATGGGTGGAAGGAAATTGGCTGCTACTTTTCAGATAGGACATGGAAATCACGAGTAAAGTTGGACTCTTCCCTTTTCCTGCAAGTTGCTAAAACTTATTCTGGGAGACCAGCCTTCTTCAACGCCCCTATAAATTCTGCTTCCGTGTAAAATGTCCTAATTTCCCCAAGAAAAGGAAATTTAGCAACTGACTCAAAGGTTAAAAAGAGGAGTAATACTCTAATTTTTTTTATTGGCTCCTGCATTGATCACACCATGCCGTGTAAGTAGGATGAGTTGTGAAGCTTTTATACCTCCCTGTTCTTTAGAAAACTTTTGCACATAGAAGGGATGTACTTTGTCCCATAAGACCACATGAAAATGCTTTTAATGTTCTCTGATGGTCGATTTTACAAAACGTTAAAAAAATGCCTCTCCCAGATTTGAAATGGTTTCGTTTTCTGTTTGTTAGGGTTTTTTTTTTCCTAACATATTTCCTGTTTGCATAATTGAATTATTAAAACCCGAAACACCCCACATTAGAAAATGTTGGCAACAGCATAGGACAGGAAAAGTTTTAACGGCACAGAAGTGCATCTGTGAACTTCACAAAACCAAAAGCAGTTTTGGGAATGGTTTTCTGCAGGAGCTGATGCTGTGTGCCCTCTAGAGCCCATCGAGGGAAGCTCTGGTAATCGCCACGAGCTGTCTCGCTCTGGGCTAGCTCCTAATCACGAGTTCCAGCACTCAGGGCACCTGAGTGCTCTGAAAGTCCGGATTCTGAATTGGATCTACACCCCAGATATGATTAACAACAAATAAATATCCTCCCAGCTATCCAGGTGGCTGACATTAAAATGCAGATAAATGGAGTAACAGTTTCTCGGTCTGAAAACCGAGGGGAAATCAAATGCATCAAGAGATGCAGTCAGTGAAGCGGCTTTCTGACTTTTGGGGTGGTTTTGAAACACACGGATATTATGGAGCAGCAATGGGTTTGCAGGGATTGGAGCCCTCTGTGGTTCCCTTTCTTTTACCCAGGCACAGCCGGGTCCTGCTCTCACCCAGGTGCTTCTGAGTGCAGAAAGGAGACTGCAGAGAGACAGGCTGGGAGCAGCAGCCAGGGGTGAACAGCATTTACAGCCACAACATCAAACTGTGGGGAGGAGAGCAGAGCAACGAACCCTTCCTGGCTGAAAAGAAACACTTAAAGCCAACCCCCATCTTTATGGGGTATTTCTCAGCTTGATTCATTCTCTGATCTCGGGGGGGTTGTGGTCACCCATCTCCACGGGCTGGGGCTGAGCCAGCAGCAGAGATGAGTGCAGCCTGCCTAAATACTTGCTGCTGAGCCCCTGCCAGATTGCTGCCCAGCTTTTAGTGTCTTGTCCTAGGTGTTGCTCCTTTATTTTGAATATTTCTTTTAGGCTAAGCTGTTTTATTTGACCTAAAAGAGTTTACAAAACCGTCTCCTTTGCCCAAGCCGGGTTGTGCTGCCAGCTGGGGATGGTGAACTGCAGCAGGGAGTCACTGCTGCTCTGCTGGGGCTTTTCAGTTCTTCTGAGCAGCCTCACAAGCACTGAAGGCTCTGCACTGTGTAAATCCAATTGTTACACAGAGCAATCTCAGACTGGGTCTGGCATGGGAGCCCAGCTGAGCTGGAGATGCTGTTTTCCAGGGAAGGGCACTGGAGTGCTTCATCTGCTGCTGCTGCCCGAGATATGGGAAGCTCAGCACAGAATCGTTTAGAAAAAGAAAAATGCCACTTGCCATGGTTTATCCAGGATTTGGCAATATTTAGTGAGACAAAGAAGGGTTGGATTTCTTTCCCAAGGTTTGTTGGTTTTCCCTCTGTAGTTTTCTCCCAGTGCTGCTGCTGGGGCTCACCTGCCACCCACACACAGCTGGGGCTTTGCAAACTGCCACGAGCCTCCAGAGCAGCTGCACCATCGGGGAGTCCATGAAAACGTGCTTGGAGAAGGTCCTTCTCTTCATCCTCATGGCTTTGAAACGGAGTTATGGCCATGAAGTTCCAGCTTGTCCAACTGCTAAGTGGCAAAGTCAAACCCCCCCCCAGCTTTTGAGTTTTACTGGTCCTTGCTTGCTACTTGCTGGTGTTTCATTGTAGTACCTCTGCAAATGATTTTTGCATCCATGCCTAATGAAGACGTGTTTCTGTTGGAGTCTCTGTGTTTTAAATATTGAGAATAAAATGAACCATGCTATGCTACCAACATGAAATTCACCACACTTACTTACTCTTATGATTAGGATAGATGGGTTTGTTTATTGGATGACTTTATCCATTTTGCTTCAAGAGTTTCCTCAGAACCTGCAGTGCAATCCTTATCTAAACTGCAAGCAGCTTAACTAATAAATTCTTACTGCTTTTAGTTTCTCTGGTAGTTTAAATGAATAATTAGTTATTTTCTGCCTAGATAAAGAAGTACTCTTGCTCTGACAGTTTAGTGATACTTTTGAGCCTTGCAGTTTGCTTTCTGGTCATGCATTGGTTACATTTAGAGTTGGATTAAGCTGCTTAGGAAATGAAGGGCTGGGCTTTCAAAAGAGCTGAATGTTTCTTGATAACTTGGGTTGATCTAGGACATTTGGGGGTTCCTTTAGTTATGCTTCAGTCCATTTCCTGGAAGTCACATTCCACCATTTGAATCAGCCCCAGCTGCTGGTTAGTTCTGTGAATTTGGAGCCCTTACATGCAGATAAGTCCTGTATGTCCTTGGCAGGGAGAAGTGTAAGAAATGAATTTTACCACCAAATAAATACCATTTTGTTGTTAATAACTGAGCCACCGGGTTTGCAGTTCCAAACCAATAGGACTATTTTGACTGCAAGTTGAATTCAAAATCCTTGGTACTGCATGGGAGTGGGTGGGGTTGAGGGCACGTGGCAATCTTCATATAATCCCCAGAAGGGTCGCTTTGGATTTTGTAGGTGCGGTGTAGTAAAATCCATAAAGACAGCTTGTGTAGCTCTTTGAAATGAATTTCTGCCCCAAAGCACCGGTGAGCCACTGTGCCTGTGTGACGGCGTTTTGGTGCTCTGTGCTTGCACACCTGGCAGGAAGGGAGCAGGAGCTCAGTGCAGCACCAGCTCTGCTGGCTGTGTGCTCACAGTCAGGAGGCAGCAGAAAAACTCACCTTCTCTTTACTCCAGCTTCTGGTGTCGAGTTTAACCTTGCTTTTTTCTTTCTAAGCAGGTGTGAAAGTCAAGAGCTGGATGTTGAAATAAGGAACCTGATAGGGAAGAGTGACACCTCCCAGTGGTGTGAGGACCCCAAACCCGTTGCACAAGAGAGTGTGAACCCTCAGAGAACTTCGTGTTCCCTTAAGGTAAAGGCACAGTGCTTTTGCAATGTTCATCTGCCAGGAAGGAACATTCAGGGGATGTTCCCTGGGTGACTTGGTTGTGCATGAAATTTTGGATTTCTGAAATGATGCAATGAACTTGCTACACTTTTGTTTTTTCCCCTGATATAGCTACTTTCTGTTAGGAGGAAGGATTAGCTGAGAAGTTGTTTTATAGTGCTTTAAAAGGTCAGCTAAACCCGCTGATGATCCACTCTGCAGCCCCATGTGCCTTTTGGATAACACAGAGCCCTGAAACTGTATAACCCCAAACCCACTATGATTTCTTCATGTAGTTTGGTAGTTCTGATTTAACTGAGAATGAGCAGAGGTGTGTGGGAGTGAGATCTTTGGAAGTGTCAGAAAGGCTTTTAGGTGAATAGGAAGGAAGAAGAAGGAGGATGCTGATGATTCAAACCCACACTCCTGTGGTATTGCAAACAGAGAATTGTCAGCCACCTGCCAAGGCTCTCTGCAGTGAAGCAGCGGTTAACAGGCAGGACAGAAACCTGTTCTTAGGTTTCCCTCTCAGTTTCACTCCTCTCCCCTGAAATTGTGAATGCGGTAGAAGGCCAGAAGGAATTTCTCTGCTTCCTGGAATGGGGAGCAGGAGGAGTGATTCAGCCCTGAATGCCATCCACCTGCAAGGGGTGACTGCCCGTGTGAACACCCCCACGGGCTGGGGGAAGGCTGTGCCCCAGGGCACGATGCAGGAAACCGGGGAGGAGGTAAAGGAGAGATGACTCTCTTCTACGAAATCCAGAATTACACAGGGCTCCTTTCACATGTAAACCACCAGCTCCACAATGAGTCACACCCTCAGGGCATGAAACCGAGCTGAGCCTCAGGAGACACCCCTGGGGCACACTAGTGGGGTTAGAAACAGCGAGAGGGAAGCCACAGGGAGGGAGGGGGATTCCCAGATGGAGGGGGAGGAATTAGCATGGGGAAACAGAAGCCAGCCCAGAGTCAGGGAGCATCCAGCCTGGAAATGACAAGCCACAAACGAGCAGTGGAAATACCTGGTTCCCCACGTTGGGCTCCCTCCAGGAGAAGGAGAATGGGAAAGGATTTGGGGAGGAAAAAAGAAAGTATGTGCTTTACCTCGGCTGTTTCTGTGAGGTGCTTCAGTGCTCACCCAGAACACCGTGGCAGTATTCCATCTGCCCTGCCTTTCTCTTTACATTTATGGCACTTTTTTTTTTTTTTTTTTTTTTTCCTGTGAAAGATGTGTGGTTTTCACAGCTTAAAGGAGGATGGTTTATGACATTTCTGCACTAGAAGCATGCTGGGTATTTTTTGTTTATACTTTTAAGTCAAGCAACTTTTCACTTGGCTGGTTTTGGTGAGCTGGACTTCAAGTGAGTTACAGCTTGACAGTAGTGATGGGCTTCAACAACCTCAGTATAAGATGTTAAGAGTCTCAGATTGTGTGGTTTGGAAAAGGAGGTCAAATTTTTAACACCTAGTAGACTTTCAGTTATGAAGGTTATGAAATAGTATTTGAAAAAAACCCAGAACAACATACACCAGAAAATGTCAGTTTGTGGAATTAGGTGCTGATTTAGACTTAAAATGAAGGGAAAATAATGTATTTAGGAGGTAGGAAAAAGTTAATAATGAAACAAATTGTGGCCTTCCCTGTAGTGTTGGTCCTTCATCAGGAAATTATTTGGCAGAGCCAGCAAGTTATTTTCATTCTGTACCTTCTATCAGGAGGGAAGAGTACAAATTGCACTCTGCAAAATGGCATTTCCATCTGGGCTTAAATTGCTTTCAAGGCTTACCTGCAAATGCCTGTAAACAAATTCCCCTTCTTGCTGGGATTTTTTTTTTTCCATAGGAATTTATGATATTAGTGCGGTTTTAAATGGAAATGTTTGAGAGAGATGAAATGATGAAATGTAGGTCTGCAGAATGAACCCATTCTCAGCACATCCTATGATTCCATCATCTGTACTGCTTTAATTGCAGCTTGTCAGGGCGCTGCATTCTCCACACTGAGAGAGGGAGAAGATTTGCATCAAAAGACAAATATTACCCAAACGTACTAATGCGGAATATATTGAGTATATCTAGAGCCCCATCAAGATTTTGAACACAGGAGGGATGTTTTCTGGGGGAGGTGAGGGTGGATAAAAGTATCAAATAGGAAGGGATAACTGGCAGTGCGTGAACATAAAATAAATTTGCAGAGATACTGTATTTCATAGGAACAATTGATAAAAAAAAAAAAAAAAAGGCCACGATAAACTTTCAAGCACCTAACCTGTTTTGGGTGTGAAGTGAGAGAAAAAACAAATCATTCAAGGGCTATCTGTACTCACAACCACCATGTTGTAAACTAAACAAATAGCCTGTTTGCCACAGTTCCAAATGATCACCCAGTTACTGTTCCAGGGAACTGGGATTTTCATCATCAAGCCTGACTTCCCGAACTCTTGGGTGCTTGAGTAGCCATGCCCTTGTGGCTGGTCTCCTTGGCACTGGTGGAAACCAGTGGATAAAAGGAAATGCTGAAACATTTCCCTGAAACAAAGGAAGTGCTGTGCCAGGTTTTCCTTGCCCAGAAGTCTTTGCTCTAATTTGATCTGGTTGCCACCTATTAAGACACGCGTTGGCATCCGCACGTGTTTTCTGTGTCGGAGGCAGTTCAGAACTGAGCAGCACAAGAGGCTGAGGCTGACACACTTACTGAAGGGAAAATCCCTTTCCAGCACACTTCTGTGGTGAAGCACATGGAGCAGGCTGGGACAGGAAGAGCTGTGTTCTTGTTCTGGTTTAAGAGCTGATTTTATTCTGCAACCAAAACCTCTCGTTTCTCACCATTTCACCACGGGCGCCGGAATGGGAAAAGGGGTTGTGATGGATATTGTGGCGTAACAGCAGCTTCAGGAATAGAGCCCAAACCAAAGCTCAGCCAGCACAGAAGCAAACAAAAAGTTCTCCAGAAGCTGCGAATTTTTAATCCAAGTAATCTCGGAATTAATCTGATTTCTACAATAACAGCACAATAAAAAAAAAAAAGAAAAATTAAAAAAAATTCCCCAACAAACCTCACAGAGGATATACGATCAGCTAGGGGGAAAAAAAAGAAGAAAAACAATGATTTTGCCATTTTATCATCATCAAGGAAGGTTCACATTTACTTGCATCAAACCTTTTAATAGGTCTTGGTTTCACTGCACTGAACAGACTAAATTTTCAGAAGTGACAAATGGCTTTCATTATCTTAATTCATGAGTGATATTTTGTAATACTGCAACAGAAGGCATTCCAGAATTAAGATTAAGATCCAGTACATTAAAAATGAGAGCTTTTATTTTCTTGTGGTGCCCATGCTTGCAGGAGGATTCAGTGTTGGCTACAGCTCCAAGGCTTTTGTTTTTCTCCCATTGCAAACTTTCCAAACATGGCTAAAAGACTTTTACACTCAGAAAGCTCAGGTCTTCCTAGAATACAAACTAAAATATTTCTCATTTTTAAACAGGGTGGTAAAGAAAACCCCAATATCAAAGCTGCTACTAAAAGAAATTACAGAATATTATAGAAGAGAAATTAATAACAAGCTTCTAATCAGTTCATCTGCCTTTGCCCTTGGAGGCAGGGTTTATGCTGCCTACTTGGGAGCAAACTCAGGGAGTCTCAGAGGGCAGCAAATCCTGCCTGGTCCCATTTCCTTCCTGGGAAAACATTTTCCATACCCGGCAGACTTTCAGGTTTGCGACTGCATTTACAGTCTGGTGGTCGACTGGAATCCTCAGAGCGATGTGTGTTTGGTTCCAGGGCTTCAAATGGAGTAGAAATGCCTTAGAATGTTTTTGTCTTTTTGACTTCTGCAGTCTGACAGTTGTCAAGAGCCCTTCTTTCAAGGATTTCTTACACAGCTCAGGTTTCTCAAGTGCTGTTGTACAACTGAGTTGCCCTTGACTGTATTGCTGCAGCCATAAACAAATGTGGTGTCTTTGTCTCTGCAATACCAACAAAAATGAACGTTGTCATCTCCCTCCGTTTCTTTTCAGTGCTATGAAGTGTTTCTCTAAAAACAGACAATGACTTTGCTTCAACCTTTCCCAGTTTTTGCTGGGAGAATGCCACCACCTCTGAAGAGCCTGAGATTTTGTTCCCTACTCACTGGCATTTAGTTTATAATCTGCAGTGTTGTTTCCTGGCGGGGATGTGCTCCAAGACTGGTTCTGGTATAGGCACGGATGAAACTCATTTGTTTTTTGATGGGTAGGATGACTCCCAGAGAGAATCTGAAATGTCTTTGTTAAAATAACTTTAAAAAAACCCCCACAAGTTTTCCAGCTATTCCATAAAGAAGGAAAAACTAAAAGGAATATCAGGGTAAGGAGGATTTATATCATATGCAAATATCATAAAGTGGTAGCTTTCTTCTAAATTGAAAAAAAAATTGGAGTTGCTTAGTCACACATTGTGAACCAGAGACCTGGAATGTGGCTGTTAAATTCCAGCATTTCACAGGATTGCTTCACTTTGTCTAAATCCTCTTCTGGAAACCAAAGGAAGGATTTACATTGTTTTAAGTCAAATTTCACAGGCTAGCTTTCATTCCATTCCTTGAAAAGTAAATAAGCAACCTCTGCAACCACTGAAAAAGCTGTAGACTTAGAGATCTTTGCACAATAATGAAAATGAGAGTTTTCTTTTATGTTTCCTTCTCGATTCCATTATTATTCAGAATTCCGAGACTGAAGGCGACAATACTTTGCACTTTCCTATTTCGTTCTGACTTTGTATGTGAAGTTTGTGGAAGCCTTTTCTTTGCTGATCTCTCCTGTGTATTTAACTCGGTAACTCTTTTCCCAAATGGGAAGCTAAGGCACAAATTTGGAGTGTTGGATACCTTGAGTACTCAAGTCCTGAGTAACTCAAATTTAGATCCACCTTAGGTAGCAGAAGAGCATAGAAGATGCCCTTAGGAGAGGAATAGCAACCCTGCCATTCTGCATCTTTGCACAGCTTTCCTCGAGGGAAGTAAATCCATTTTCCCATTATGGTTTTCCCCTAAACATTGTGAGGTTTGCAGGGGGCTGTGAACAGACTTGGCTGTCGCTCCTTTTCGAGCAGGGCTCGCTCTCTCCTAGTGTCACTTCATAGTTGCACTTACATAACTCCCTTTTCACAACTGGAAGCAGGGATTGAAAAGCCTGTGCTCTTATTTACTGAAAAAGCACATCTCCTTCCTTCCCTTAGCCTTGCAACTTCCCCTCTGGGGAGAAGTGGCCGGTCCATTGTGATTTACACGCACTCTGAGCAGAGAAAGAACTGCCTTGCCCGGCACATTAGTCACAAGCAGCGTGCTTCATCCTTTCTGGGAAGCCCCAGCCAAGAAGGAGGAAAAGGTTAAAAATCAGAATTCCACCCCTCGTTTCTGAACCTTGGCTGCTTCCACAGGCAGCACTCGTGGATCTCTTGGGTCTTAAAGCCGTTCTCCTGCTCCTTCAGCCAACAGAAAACATCTGTTCCGTTGCTCTTCTTCTTCCAAAGGTCCACAGTGAAACGGCCGCTCAGGGCCACCTTGGGTGCACGTGGGCAGGTGGGAGTGACATGGAAGCCCCAGCAGACCCCCTGGAAGTAAGTGACTTTTCTGGTTGTTCTCTGAAGAGTTTTCTGATTGTCAGTACAAAGAGGTTCGTTTTAGTGACCCAGAAACTTCTGTGAGCAATATTCAGGCTGGTTGGTGCTAAGGGTATGTACAGTTGTGAGATGTGTGAGTTGTCTTGTTCATATTAATATTAATCTTCAATATGCAATTAAATATGTGCCTAAGCAATTCAGCATCTGAATACCTCCACTGGCTGCCAGGTATCACTTCAGATGCTTTAAGTTAAACATGTCTATGAACTACAAGAAGAGGGATTAAGTGTTTCCTGCCTTGGAAGTCAAGGATTCCGCATTTGAGCTCAGCAGGACTGGCCACAGGGCAAATATGTGGTCAGGATTTTTGCCTGTGAAAAGACACAACAGAACTCTCCTTTGATCCTCCTTGGTGTTTGGCATGAAACTCTCTAGCTGAAGAAAATTAATGTCAGGAGATTCGAGGCCTCAAAAGTGGTCACACTTTTATTCTGGTTTTTCATGTGCTGGTTGAGGATTTAGGGAGGGAAACAAATCTCCCTGAGCAGGCATCTGAACATAGCATGTTTGGGTTTTTTTGTGAGCATATCTCTTTTTTCCAGTGCAGTTTCCCTCTGTCTCTAATAGATCACATGTCTGTTTTCATGGCAGTTCATAGAAATTGGAAATTATGATTATTTCTTGGAAATTATGATCTGTGACACTGCCGTGACGAAAAGGAGGGTTGTTGCTCTTGTCCTGCATGGGTGGACCTCCATACTTTAAAAAACAGTTGCAGGCTGATTTCCTAATTTCTCCCAATGGCTTATTTGTTTTCTGGATTGTTTGCTTTGAGCCCCCTGTGCTAAAGTTGGGCCTGCAAACACTTAGCAGGGGCAATGCTACTAATTACTCTGCTCCTTGTAAATGAAGGGAATTACGCCCACTTCAGCTGACGCTCAACTTTTGTGGCTCGTACCAATTGTTTAAATTACCATCTGCAAGATAATTAAAATCCAATTTTCTGTGTTCTGTGCCTCAGATGGCACAAATAGATAGGATTTGGTTTGTTTCAGGGGCTGTTTTCAGAATGTTTCCATTAAAACACTGGCTAAGCAAGGTTAAGGCAGATGCACACTTCAGAATCCTCTCTCAGTAGGTGTGAGGGTAGCAACATACGAATGCAATGCAGGAAAAAGTTCCTGTTTCAGTTCCTTTACGTGCACCTGCCAGGGTGGATGGAGCTTTACGTGATAATCGTGCCCAAAGCATGAATTTCTGAACATTTCTTCTCTGCAGTCAAGGCACACGTTACTGAGCAGAAAGAAGACTTCATCACCCACCTCTCTGGAACAGCAGATCCTCTCACTGGAAAGGCAGAGACAAGAGGTAACCTTGGATATACCCTTAACATTTACAGATAGATCCTCTAAGGCAGACATGACAATATCAGTGATGGAGGCAGGAAATCACTGGATGTGTTGTCACTGTTAATTACACTGTATTTAAGCTGCTGGTTGTTTTATCCACCAGTCCAGCAAGGCCTGTGTTCTTCCCCTGATAATCTCATCCTGTGCTCTTGTCAGATAATTTCTATGTGGATACTTTCTGCTTTGCATTTCTTCACAGCTTGAAGTGTGCAAGCACTTAAAATGACACATAAAACTAGTTCCTAGTTCTCTGTACCACACTAGGCAGAGTTATGTTTAAACTGCTCCTAAAAAAAAAAGACCAAGGAACAGCTGTGAGTAGTAGCCAGTGGTGTCTTGGTCCCAGGGAGCAGCAAAGTGGGAGCTGGTCTTTTGCTGAGCATCCTAAAGAGTGACCTTATATCCTTCAGTTCATTTGTTTGGAGACAAAGAAATTCTCATTGGAAATGTGTTTATGGAACTTAAAGCAAACCAGCAGGGAAGTCCTTGACCATTCTGGAGTTGCAGCTTGGGATGGGGTACAGTGCTGCCAGTGATTCACCTGGAGCTTATGGTGCATTTGCATATTTCCTGAGTGTTCCTGTGCTTTAGCTGGAATACCAAAGCACTGGCAGATGGGCTGGAAAGCTTGCCAGACCTTAAACTTGCTTTTTCTGGAATGAACTGGCCAGATGATGAGGAGGTTGTGAGCAATCATAGGTGGGGGATTAGAATGCCTATCTATTTTTGATTTATTGACAATGTTGAAATAAAGGTTATTAACTGTGACTTCCTGGTAATTACAGCTTCTGGAGGTGAACAAGCAATGGGATCATCAATTTAGAACCATGAAACAGCTCTATGAAAAGCAGGTAACACTGCTGATGACTTCTATTCAATATGTATGTCACCTGTTGACAGCTAAGTCTGTGTTTAAATACCACCCAGCCACAGCCATGGTCACATCAGCCTGCAGTGCCTGCTGTGCCCAGCCCCTGCTCCTCCTCCTCACAAATCTGTTGGTTCTTGTCCCATCTCTCCTGCCTGGCTTGGGAAGCCTGGGAGCTCCCTGGGGCCTTGCTGTAATGGGGGAGCTCTCAGGTAAATCCTCTGTGAATGTTGCCCTCTGTAAGCAGGGACTGTCAAGAGGAATTGTAAATAAATACTTTTTCTTTCTTTCCTTTTTATTTTTTTTCTCCCCCAAGATCCCAGTGATGTAGCTTTTGTTCCTTGCTTATGGCTGTGTGGCATCAACTGCTGCAGCCATTATCATCAGCTGCCTGGTGAAGCTGACTGCTTGCAGCTTTGCCTGGTATTTATTCCCAAACCCAAGTTGGTTCATTGACTGACACTTCTCATCTACTGCTTCCTGCTCTGAGAAGGAAGTTTTCAGGATGACCTCATGCACTCATCAGGAAAATTTTCTCTCCGGTATTTTCCAACAAGCTTTACTGAGATCTGGATCATTTACTGTCTTTTTTTTTTTTTTTTTTCTCCCCCAAAGACAGGAGGAATTCAAATGGCTCTTCCTCATGTAGAATGGAGCTGTTTTATTCCTCTGGGCAGACACCTTGGAGGTGCTGTGCCTTTGGGAATCCCCAATCAGCCCACCATGGTCTGTCCCTTGCTTTTCAGCTGGCGGAGATGAGAGCAAGGCTGGACGTGTCGGAGAGGAGAGTGAGCGAGCTGGAGCAGGACAGGCATCGACAGCAGCCAGGGGATGAGAGGCTGGGAGTGCAGGGCAGAGAGAAGCTGTGGCAGGAAAAGGTAGGAGGGTGCACTCTGTCACCTCCTTTGTGCTCTGTGCTCAACACTCTCTTGCCTTTCATCGTTCTCTGCTCGTGCAGGGCCGAGCGTGGGCTGTGAGACGAGATGTGGTGTTGAGTGTTGTACCCACGGCAGTGGCTGCTGCTCTGCCTCATCAGAGAGCTGTGCACAGGGTGAGAGTCATTTCAGTAGAACCTGGCAGACAGCACAGCATTTGTGTGTGTGTGGGGAGGGAGTAAAAAGCAGACTGGTATGAACGCTGCAGAGATTTCCCTCCTCGCTGTTCAGGTAAGGGGGAATTGCTTTGTGCACAAAAATGCTACAGCTATTTCAAATGGAACAGGAGCATCATTGCAGGTGTTACACAAAGTGCTTGGCAATAAAGAGAATTCATCTCCAGACACTCAGATTTTGGTGTTGACAATATAGGCTGTTTCAGCTCCCTGCAAACGTTAGCAGCACAGTCAGTGCAGTTCTTGGGCCTGGTCAGCTGCTCTAGAGTGCTGTTCACCTCCCCCTGACAGTGGTTGGGCTCCTCTCTCAGGACTCCTTGGGCACTGGCTCTGGTGTATTCTTTTACATCTAAAAATTAAATCCCTAAGCTGAATTCCCACCTCAATAAAATCACCAGCCGGATTGATCAGCATGTTTATGCCTGACAAACACACAAAACTTTGCGCTCCATTTCCAAGCCCCAGGGAGGGGTGCTTCCCCTTCTCATTCCACTCCCTGGGATCACGTACTTGATGACCTCTCACAGGAGTTTCTGGCTGGTGATCTGATGGCTGAGGCTGGGCTTCTCTATTCACTTTGGTAACTTGAAGCAAACCTGCAAGCAAGTGGCAATTGCATCACTTGCAGGCTGAGATAAGATGTGAGTTCCCTGCTGCAGGAAAAGGAGTGCAAAGCCCTCAGCTTGTATCTGCATAAGCTGAACGTTCATCCTACCTGCTTATCCATTAGTGCTAGCTAAGCATGTACTTGATTTCCAACCAAGGGGACTCTGTGCATGTTTTAAAGCAAACTAAGTCATTCTGTACTTGCTGAATCGCTTCCTGTATTTGCTCTGAGTGTGGATTCGATGTGAGAAAATCCATCTTCTTCTTCATATTACTGCCTGCCTTTTAATATATGACATCTGGCAAAAATAGCCCTAACTGCCTTTTTAGAAAGATAAGGATGACAGAACATTGCTAAATTTTTTACTACATACATGAATAATGAAATGAGTGACAATGTAATCCAAAAATTTCTTAGGGGGACAGGTTAACCTGCGTGGAATTTCAGCCTTAGATCAGCAATTTCTTTAAAAGTTATTTATTTTTCTTCTCCCTTGGCATGACCATAGACAGGAATTAATGCATAATCACTGGAAAGTCTCGGAGTCAGAACACCTAAGATTCAGTTTTGAATAAGGCCCAGTAAGAACTTGGAATTCAGGTGGTTCGAAAACCTGAACAAAGTGGAGATACTTTATTCCTGGAGGTGCCAGCCTTTGAAAAGGAGAATATGTGGTAGGAGCTGGGAAAAGATACCATTCATATGCTGTCCTGTGCATGTGATTGTTTGATCCTGATTTTTTTATTCACATAAAGCAGCTGCAGAAGAAGACTTGAAATACTTTCTTTTTCTTTTGTAAAAAAGCTGTTATGTTTCATATATCCAAACAGCTTTGTTCCAAGACCAATCTGGCAAGAGTGGGCCAGTGAGGGATGTGTTACCCTGCACGGGAAGCTTATGGGATGCCATTTGCTTCAGGGCCTGATTTGGATCTCAGCTCCCTTCACTGTAAATGGAACAGAATAAGAGAGTCAAACTTACAGGTTGGCAACTGTGCCTTAATAATTCTTACAGTACCATCTTGGAAGGCTCTTGTGTAACTCCTGCTGCAAGCAGGGACATATTCCTGGTAGTTTGCTGGGAAGGCAACAGTGTAGGCATATGCACTAGGAACGGTCAGGCTGAAGTTCAACAGCTGTGGTGGGGTCACAAAAAGGTAGATTTTTAAGCCTTGATTGGTTGCATAGTAAATCTAGAGTGGGCTGAGACCCGTTTCATCTCTCCTGTAGTGAATGAAGCCCTCAGACTATGTGACACTGAGATCTGGTTTTGTCTTTGGTGTTGCATGGCACTGGGAATGGCTGGGACTCCTCCAGCATTTGACCTTATATAATATATGAGTGAAATGCAGGCCTGGGATAACTGTCTGCATGATTCTGCTCTGCTTGGCCTGCCAGCTTTCTCGTGCCTCTGTGTGACTGCAGAGAGCAGGGATTTAGCCTGGTGTGTGTTGTCTCTGTCCCATCATGTGGTGAGTGGCCAAAACAATTTCTTCAGGCTTTATCATATCTGGGCTTCCTGACTTCCTGTTGCCTCCCTTCCCAGCTGTGCCTGGGACAACAAAAATGCAGCACATCTGCGAGGCAGAAGATACTCTGAAAAATTGTTCTTGAGAAGCGTTTCCATCTGCGTTTCAGCAGCGTGTCTCTGTGTTTTTTGCATCCCAGGAAGAAACCAAAGTCCTGAGTGAAGCCCTGCATGAGGTGAGGGAGGAGAACAAGCTGCTGAAGCAGAAGAACGCCTCCCTGCTCAGAAAGAAGGAGCACTACGAGGGGGAAATAAGCCGTCTCAATAAGGTAGGAGCAGGAGTGAGCTGCTGACCAGGAGCTGTTCCTCTAATCCCAGGAGCTCCCTTGTCAGGCAGTGACACGACCAGATGCCCATCTTTCAAATCCTGGGTGAGCAAGGTAGCAAATCACGATCAGCTTTTGGAATTTGGGGAAACAAGCAAGACCTTAGTTAAGGTAATACCTGTTCCTGGCAGGCAGTAGGGCTGCACTGCAAAGAGGGAAGTTAACAGAATAATTGGCTTCTCCTGTGAAACCCCTCCACATTCCTAAGCTCTTTCTACATCCTCCCTCCTTAGAACAAAAGGGAAATGGCACAGAGATAACTTTATATGCACCGTGGTTAAAAAGAAGTCACACAGTTTTAAAACTGTTGTTTTCCTTGAGTTCTGTGTTTGACAACAATGGCTTCTCCTCACAAGACACAGTCCTGTCTTACTGTTTGTACCCATACATATATATATATATATTTACATTCATGCATACAAATATTATGTGTATTTATGTCTCACTGAGGAAATTCCATTAAATAGCTAAACGGGATTTTCTTTTTTTTTTAACTGAGGGAAAGTAATAAATGTAATTTTGTTTAATCAAAAGATCACATGAAGCAGTGGGTGTTTTCTAACAATTTTATATTTCATGGTGAGCCACAAACAACACTTCCTGAGGAAATGCACTGCAGTAACCATTGCTGTGTAACTTGAAGTGCTTTAACAAGCTAAAGGGCCGTGATGTGCAAAAGTCAGGCCAAAAAAACATAATAAAAAAATCTTTCAGAACATATGATCTTTAGCCCCTTTTGAAATGCATTGACAAGGACTTGCTCAAAGCCTCAGTGCAACTTTCGTTCAAGGTTCACTCGCTTTGTTTGCGAAACAACTTATTTCAGTGTTTTATTTTGCTGCCTTTCGATGTGCTTGGAATAAGACAGATGGGTAAACAGACCATTGTTTTAAATGAAGCATCGGTTTCATGTAACACACTTTCCCAACAGTAATTTACAGGATTTGCTGCGTGTTTGCATCCTTCAAATCTCGTGTCATGAATGCACATAAGACTGGAAGGGACCCTTTCAAGTCTAGTCCCCTGCTATTGCAGGTTCAGCCACTTGAAGTCATTACAAATTCTCTGAAATCAAACAACTTTTTCTTCTTTAATTTGAAATGATAAAGCAAAGTCTCACAGTATTGTTTCCAGATGCAGTTTGAAAAAATCACCTTATTTTTCTCTGATGTTAACATTTTAAATATTGAATTTTCTGGATTTTAATTTTTTTTTTCCCTCCATAATCCTGAGATGTAGAACCTCCTCAGAAAAGGTATTAAAAAGTGGCTTAAAATGGAGCAAAAAGAAGGTTAATCAGTCAGGTATCTGTATCTTCAAACTCCCATGCTGAATCTTATTTATGTATTGACATGGAACACAAGCTTTGCCACTATTATATCAATTTCTCTTCAGATAAAAAAACCTTCCTTTTCTATGCCTTCCATTGAAAAGGGCTTGTTTTTGATCGGCCTTCTGATAATTAATCAAAAATTATTCCAGTCCCAGGGAGAGCTGTGAAATGCTGTTAAAAACAACCAAAATCTGCTCAGAGCTAGGGCAGAATTTCGCTGTAAAACTGAGCACGAGTGGCACCGTGTTGTGTGTATTCCTGACTCCCTCTAGTGACAAGCTGTGGAGGCTACACCAAGTGCTCTCAAACAGGAGGGTTTGCTCTGTTCCAGTTGAAGAAATCTGTATTTTAAGTGCAAAAAAATATTTCAGACCAACTTTCCCACAGTCACATTTTAAGACCATCTTTAAATAATCTTTTTATTTTCTTGGGTTTTTTTTTTGTTTGCTTGCTTTTGGCCTCAGCTGAGTTTGGGCACCTGTCTGTTTTCCCAAATTCCAGCTTGCACAGGGAAATGGTGTTTATGGATGAGATTTGCAGCTGTGATTTCCATAAGTAAATATTTTATATGGTTCTGAGTAAAAGCACAGTCCCCTAAATGACACTGGATGTAAGTGTGGTGTCTTTGGAAATGTGGACCCAGTCTTGGATATATGTTATTCATGGGGTTTATATCCACTGTATATAATAGAAGAAAATGCAAGCAAAGGGGAAACCTTCCAAGAATTTAAAAGGCTATTTTTTTTCCTTTTCAGGTAGTGAATCTCTGTTTAACATTTTTGCTGTCTGATGTTACAGGCCCTCCTGGACGTGCTGAAAAAGCAGCACTCACCTGTTCTTGGGACTCCCCCGGAGAAGGGTGACAGGAACAGCCTTGAGGAGATGAGAACCCAACTTGAAGTGCTGAGACAGCAGGTAAGAACAGCTGAAAGTCAGACTGGATGGATTTCACTCAGCATCATTTTGCCTCGTCTCCCAAGAACTGTGCCTGGTAGACTTGCTATGCAGAGTTTTTGAAAGGAAGTCTTGGGAAACTTTGCAGTTTTTCAACGTTTGCATCCATAGCCTACATCCCAATCTCTAGGGATGTGTATTTATTTCTTTTTAAATCTTTGTTCTGAATAGATGTGTATTTATTTCCTTTCAAATCTTTGTTCTGAGCAATTCAAGTGCTTTGTGCGCTGCCTTCCTTTCCATATGAAAGAACCCCTTTAAAAAACGTTATAGTTTTCTGATAATTTTACATTTGGGGTCTGGACAGTGTTAGGGTTGATGTTATTGACACACAAATGGATGTGATCAGAATGTGAATTTTATTCAGTGGGAATAAAATACTTGTTTCTGTCACGTTTGACAGCAGAGCCAGATTTTGCTCTCTAATGTAATGCTTGCCACATGCCAGAGACCAAAATCCTGCACTTGATTGTACAGTAATGACTTATTTCATTCTACACAATAAAATAGAGTAAACCAATTTTTTATTATTTTTTTTTCCCCCAGAATTCTCATGGGGTATCCATTCTAGGAATGTATATTTCTAGTTGTATAAATCAGCACAGTGAGCCCAGACGTGCTTGTACACGAAGCGGAGCAGGAGGCTGTAACTGTACGGAGAGGGGACTCCTGGGACAAAGAGTGACGTGGCAGGGCCTCACCAGGGCTGGGGTGTCATCAACCCATCCCTGCTCAGGACAGGAGAGAGGAAGGCATTCATTCCCTGGGAGGTGTCCCCCTCTTCCTCAGGGCAGCAGAATGTACGGCAAAGCTGTGCCAAAGGGGTTCCCTTGCAGCTCTGGCGGGCTGGGGAGCAAGAGGGAGGGAGGAGGGACAGAATCAGGAGGGAAGAAATGAGGAAACACTGAGGGGGGAAGCGTGTAGATGGACAAGGGACACAGGGATTTCAGCTTTGCCTCTGCCTTGGAGGGTCAGGGGTGTGCAGGCCTTCTCCACACGTGGGCTGTGGAGGGGAGTCCCCTCACAGCCACGCAGAAAGCCTTTGTTCTTTTTCCACGGTGTTATTCCAGAAGGAGGTTCTATCTAGTGGGGGACCATCGGCTCCAGAAAAACCCTGGCAAAAATTAGCAGCAAAAGGCAAGTTGTGAAAATAATTTAGGGAGCCCTGTGTTGACTTTTTTCTTCCCCCGAGGTATTAACATTTCTTTAGTCCTTCTGTGAAGTCGTAGTGCTGCTGCCAGCAAAAGGAAAACCGGATCTATCCGATGGGCACGGCAGGAGGCACAGCGAGCAAGGCCTTTGGAAACAGACTGTCAGCAGCTTTAGGGAGCAACCAAGAGGACATGAAAGGACTTCTGAAAGTTCTGGTGGTGGTTGCCACCCAGACATGCCTTTGCTGTTGTTTGTCAGTAGAAGTGCCACCAATCCCCAGCTCCTCACCAGGTGGATTCCTGCCTGTTAGCTGGAGGATTCAGCCAGTCAGATTAACACCAAATAATTGACAGATTTGTGCTTTGCTTCTTGCTGCCTGAGCCTGGGGTGGGCAGACATTTTTTTAGTGGGATGAAGCACTATGATTCCTGGGGACATAAAAAACAGCTAAACCATTCCATCCCTCAGCATTTGAAAGGAAACTTATCTTCTAGGAACCAGGTCAAACATCTGCATTTGCATTTTGAATTGTGTACCATTGCATTCCCCTCTGCTTCTCCACTGGGGCAGGGAGGTTCTTCCCCGATTGCTTGCACCTGAGATACAGGAGGGAAGAGAAAACTGGAAAAAGCGTTTGTAAAATCTTTGTCCTGCTACTGTTAATCCCTTAAAAAGCTCGATATTAGTATTTGCTGTTCTTGTTTATAACATTTAAAACTGATATTTGCCAGTCAGCCTTTTAAATTTCGAGGGTCTACAAGCAGTGAAGCTGTGGACTGTTCTGATTGACAGGTGCCAGAGGGGAATAGTCACTACTCGTCATTTTGTATCGGGCATAAAAAAAGACGAGGCAAACTTCTGGTTGTAGGATTGTCCAGAGGAGGGATCCCTTTGGAATGCACTCCACTACTGGGCAGTGTTTAAAAAGCAACCAGACAACAAAAAGTGGATGAAGTGGCTCTGCTGGGAGTCACATCCCCGGTATTAACGATTGCAGGTACAAATATACGAGGAAGACTTCCGGAAGGAGAGATCTGACCGAGAAAGACTCAGCGAGGAGAAAGAAGCGCTGCAGAAAGTGAACGAGAGATTGCAGTCTCAACTGAATAAACTCAGCTCTCAGGTATGAGGCAGGAGAAAGCTCCCCCTGCCAGCACATGTGCATTTTATTTTTATTTTCTCACTTTCCGCACAACTCGAGGCTTTCTGGCTTCCATTAATTGACATTGGATTTTATATGAGGTCACCACCTGGGATGAAATCATTCTGAAGTAATGCAGCAAGAAGATGAGAAACGATTAGAGAAGACTTCCAAAATGAGTAGATGAAGGGAGTATTCACTGCAAAAAACTTTTCAAACATATCTGAAAATGGAGGCGGCAGGGTCGGGGGGGGATGACCAAAAACAAATCCAGAGGACTTTGATTGTTCCACTGGCACTTGATATGAGAGTTACAACATCAAACAAACTTTTGAAATAAAGAGCTTCTGTAGTTAACCCTGACCTCTGCAATTGAATTACAGGGATGGTGATATCACTGAGGAACAAAATGGGCTCCATACAAATGAGCTGAGCGGCCGCCGCAATAATTTTTTTCTTGCAACATCCTTTTTATCTCTTCAAAGTGGTGTCAGTAGGAAGCCATAGTAAAATCATGGCATGCAAAACTCTGAGCTTTCTTAATCCCCATTAAAAAAAAAAAAATGACGAAATTTTGAGGTTTTCCTGCCTTGACAAAGTTGTGCAACGTTTGAAAAGAATGGCCGGTTACCGACACGTTCTGTGATGATTTATTGTCCTCCCCAGCGCTGTTGTGAAACAGAAACTTCAGGATTGACTTATTCTCAACCAGCATCAGTACTAGTAAGGTCTTGCTATAGTATCAGAGGCAGTGAATAGGGAAGTCTAAAAATAGGGCTAAAAGGCCTTTCCTGCTCCTCCCCAGGAGGATCAGGAGAAATGCCAACACCTGAAGGGGCTGTACAGGTGCTGGGTAACGTGTATGTACAACCTGTCTGTCCCTGCAGTGCATCAGCAGTTCACACTGGAGATCTTCTTGTTTGTCTCTTCCTGCCTCGGGATTTGATTAAACAGAGCTTGCGAAGGATTTTAAAGATGAGAGCAACCACACAAAATATTTATTAGTTTGCCTTCTTAAGTTGAATCGTTTGGTTGTGACTCACAGAATCACAGAATGTTAATCATCTTTTACCCCTCCTTCCTCTGTCCCGAGGCAAATTCCTGTTGACTGTACTGTAATGAAGAGGGCCTAAAGAAAAGGCAGGCCTAAATCTTGAGGCCACTGACTTTGGTCCTCTACCAAAATTATTTACTTTTCTTGTCATGCAAGTGTCCATGTAGTTCTGCTTCAAATTATTGAAAGCTACTGTGTGTAATGAAGATATAGAATACTCGAATATAGAACACTCCTAGAAATGCGCTTGTCATACCTCAAAACCAGTATTTTCCTCTCATAAAAAGTGTGCCAGGACTCTGGTGTAGCACTTTCTTAAATAATAATAAAAAAAAAAAGTAGTCAGGAGGGGCTGAACAGGCAGCATTGTGACCCAGTGCTGAGAGAGGATTGTTTCTTCCCCATTGCTTTCATTGGTGAATTTGTACTTGAATATTCTGTTGGTCGTTGCATCCTGCTGATGATGCATTTCTTCTTATTTTTGTGACAGACTAAAGACCTCCCAGCAGCACAGCCTGAGAGGCCCAGTTACCCACCTCCCCTCTTCCTCTCACCCTGTGTGAATTATGGGAGGTGTGGGATGCTCCTTCACTATGCAGATCCTCGAGTACAACCAGGGCCTTGCAGGGCACACGAACAGCAGCAGCAGCACTTGGTAAGGTTCCCACTGCTTCCTGTGTCCCAAGGGCACTGATTTTCTCTTGGCATGGTGACTATCACAGTGCCATCGACACCAGCAAGTCAATCTGTGGTTTCATGGTTTGTTGGTAGTTCCAGATTAATATCAAATTTACTTTGTCAAACACAATAACGCCACTCAGAAGAAAAATTGAGTTTTTTCGTTGTAAGGAACAATCGTACCTTAATTAGAAAATGGAAGCTGTTGGATTGAAGTCTTGCTGATTCCTTAGATAAATTCGCTTCTACAAAATATGTTCAGAGCCATTTCTAGCTGTATGGTTACCCACATTCAGGAATATGGATCTGCTCTCTGGAGCCCGGTTCTGAGCCTTCAACATAAAACAATAACAAACAAAGCAGCAGAAGTGGGAGGTGTATCTGAGTGTGGCTAACACCATGGGAAATTTGCCTTTTTTCCTGGCACACAACAGGGTCCTGTCTTCCTCAGCATGAGGAAGAATAGCTTTGCACTGGAACAGGGGGGAGTTTTCTATTGCAAGGAAAATGCTGCTTCAAAGAAAGGTATTTTTGAAGTGCTCTGGGTTCCCTAAGCAGGCTGTGCTTGTTCCAATCCAGTGAGAATGCATTTAAACGTGGCGAATGTCATTTTAAATACTCAGTGTCTGTTTCTGGCTGTAAAGCTGTCACATATGGAAAGATGCTCATTATTTGGGAAGTTATAGCCTTTTGAAAAATGCACGTAAGGCTTTCAGACTGCACTAACCCAATGGAAAGGCTGCGGTCAGACAAGTCATTTCTGTGCTTCAGGAGTGTGCTTATCTGCCTATTTATCAAAGCTGGGAGTTTTGCAGAATGTTTTTCACTGCAATTTGGACGCTGGCCCAGATTGTTTTGGCTCTTCTCCCTGAACTTCCATCACCTGGGTTTCTAATTCTGTGAGGGATCCCCGGGTTCATTTGGAACTCCCCGGTTCATGGTGACCCTTGTTTGAAATGCTGTGCCTGGGTGAGTGCAGCCCTGCTGCTCCGAGCCTTGGGAGCCTCCCTGAGCAATTTGTTAGCAGTGAAGGAAGGTGTTAGAATTTAATGAGTGTCCTGATACTTAATCCTGGGTGTTCAGTCTGAGCTTTTGCTTTTTCGGTCTTTTTATGTCTTGCACCTTTTCTTTCCTCTTTACACTGCCAGTGGAAACAGTTTGTTTAGTCTTGTTTCTGAAATTCATTCCAGTCTGTGTGCTGCAGGTAGGTATGAAGGAGAAGAGTTGATCAGAGAACAGAAAATCCACCAGAAACTCAAAAAAATCCAATGCAAATAAATGTAATTTGAGCCACCGGTGGGAAAAACACCTGTGCTAAAAGCAATGCAGCCTTGCTTTGTACCAAAGCCTGTTTTGTTTGCCCATAAGCACAGAATTAGTTAACAACTCCTGTGAATGGTGCAACTGAAGTGAAAATACAACAGCCCCTTCTGTCCTGAAGGATGAGAGTGATCACTGCTGTGTGAGTGCAGATGGCAGCAAAACAGCAAAGTTAAATCTGTTCTCTGTATCTGCAGCTTCATCCTGCCATCTTAATTTAGGCAAAACTTCTTTAGAATTCACTAAAATTTGTTTCCTACGTCTTGGAATCTGTAAGATTCCCCTTGACGTGACTCGGGATTTTGTCAGGTCAAACTCTGCAAAACGAGAATTATTTTTCCAGTTTAGCTGATCTGAAACAGCATTTCCCTGGAATTTGACAAGCTTGCATGGACTACTTACATCACAGACAGCCTAACCTGAAATGTCTGGTCCCAAGGTTGTTTTCCCTAGTGGTAGTTTGCTACTGATTTACCACAGTGTGTGTGGTATAAACTATAATGCGCTATTTCTTCCTTGCAAGATTTCCCTGGACAAAACTGTATTTGCATGTACATAAACTTTCCAACACTTACTCTTTTAAGAAAGATGGGAATTTTTTCTGCCTCACAATATTTTTCAGTAAGTTATTTGGTAACAGCTAGTGCTGTGAGGAAAGGGAGAGGGGGGAGGGAACTTAATTCCATGGCCAATTCCTGTCCCACTGAAGCACTTTACAGGTGTATTCGAACTGCAGCAGCTTCACCTGGCAGGTGCACCAGGTTCCTCTGGGGTGTTTTAGTACAGAGGTGCCTACTGGTATCTTCTGCACTTTAATCCTCAGCTCTTTTAAAGTCTGATTTGCTTCTGTGAGTCTTTCTTTCGATTTGTGGCATCTAGAAAGGTGTACACCCAAAATTCCTATGGGTGCAGCACCTAAACCCCGTGGCAGATCCAGAGACTTGGATCAGTGGAACCATAAAGCTGAATATATGATTTTTTTTTTTTTTTTGCAAACTACTTTTGTATGGGTACTGAAAAGCTTCACAGCACAATTATGTTTTTATCATGTCACTGTTCTTCTGTTTGAAGTGTCTGTGAAGGCCACATTGCTGCAATAATGTTTTATTGTTCTGTGCAGCCAGACTATCAGTGGTATGTTCCTGACCAGCTTCCGCCAGATGTGCAGCACAAGGCAGATGGTAAGACAGCAGCTGTTCAGAGCACATAGTAAATGTACTTTTCTTTTAAATGGAGGCCTTTGAGAGACACAGAGTAAACCGTGCTATCTATCTGCTGAGTGCCTATGTCACAGCTTTGCCTTGGGGAGGTTGGGGTATGTACCACACAGGTGAGCTTTCTAATGTAGCACCACCTATGCCACAGCTTTCAGCTTCCCTGCAATTCGTAAAACGTCTCTATTACACATTATAGCATCACACATTTGCCCCGTTAAACACCTGGTAATAGTCCTAAAGAAAAGATATGCTCAGAATTCTCCCTAGAGCTTCTGTTGCTCCAGCTGAGACCGAATCTGATGATGTGCCGACCCCGGGGGCCAGCGTGGGTTTACAAGTCCTTGGTAACAAAGTACAGGCTTTAGGATGTGGTTTCACCTTAAGAGCAAAATGCCCATTGCTGTTCTTGATCTGCTCTGATAGTTCAGGGTGCCAGGGCTGAAAATGAAGCCGTGTAAATGAACAGAGTTAAAGAACTGCTCCAGTGTCAGTGCAAACTATTCCTTGGAAACCAGGAGGGGTATTTAATATTTGTACGTGGACTTGAAACCATTCCTGGTTGCTTTGAAGTACTTGTTTCAAAAGATGGAATGCCAGGGAGCACAAGGAATCTCTCCTGGGGGGGAGTCTGCCATTCCATGGTACGAGTGGGTACCATATGGGGTGGCAGGGACTGGTGAGTCCAGAAGCTGTTTTGTATGATCTAGAAGAAGAAGATGGCTACAGAGGAACTATTCTCTTATTTATTGTTGTCCACATTTGCCCAGAACAGAGGGTTGGGTGGGAATGGAGCTTGCCAAAATGGCTGATGAGCTTCCCATAATTACATGGAAACTGTGTGGAGGGTTCTGATGTGGTCACAGGGAAAGTAGAGCTGTGACTGCGCAAGAGAATAGGAGATTAATTTTGCTGTTCCTCCCACTTAGACTTGAAGTGATTTACTGCACCGGAGGACACAGGGAGGATGTTTGTAACGGGGAATGAAACAAGGCCACCAACTGCAGCCGTGGGCCAGGGCAGTGCACTTGGGGGATCAGAGGAAAGAGACCCTGCTTGACTGTGACTTGACTTCTGGCTCCCTGAAAGAAAAACCTTTTAAAAATACATGTTCTGTCTTTCTGTTCCCATTCCTTACCCAGAACATCCAAATGCCTCCTTCTCAATGGGACAGTGAGGAGGACACTTGGAGACTTTCCCTGCCCTTTTTTCCTTCAGTGCCTCATTTCTTAATGAGTCCCATCATAGCACTGGGCTCTTTTTGTCTTGGCTGATAAAACAAAGATGATTTTATTAGCCATTGATCACACTGAAGTCCAGCTTCTATCAGTTAGAAGTCACTAGCCTGGGTTTGTGTGTTATATATAGTGGTCTCTATTAAATCTGCATGTAAGTATTTTGAGAGAGGTTTCAAAGATAGAAACCCCAAGAATATGTGATGACAAAGTATCCCAATGTTCCAGTTTCTTTGTTCTCTTTTGTGCAAGTGCTAATTACAAGGGTGGCTTTAAATGAGCCAGTATGTGCAGCAGCATTCCTGAATCTCATTTCTCGTCCTTCATTTTCTCATTAGATGATAAACTGACCAATAAATCTTATCTCTGCTGAGCTAAGACTTCATTATAGAAAAACAAATCAGCAGTGCAGCAACTTTTAGTCATCAAGCAGTTTTCTTTAGGAATGCTATTTCAGTAGACTGATATTTCCAAGGAAAAGCCTTAAGTTTTCCTTCGCAAATTTTCCTTTGACAACCAGGCATTTTTTTCTTAAGTCGTAATTATAAAATACAGGTCGCAGGTTGTGACTTTAGAGCTGAACAGAAGTGAAATGAATTGGGAAGCTCATGTTTTTTTGTAAGTTTGTTCTGCAGACTGCTGTTGTCCCCAGAGATGTGTTTTGGTGGTTGGCACAAGCCTGTGGAACAGTGTTGAGTCCAGCACTGAACTCTCAGGGTGGTGCGATGGTTTGGATCTGGCACTTTTTGATTTGAGCCCTTTCTAATTAGCTGGGAATAACTTCATCAGAATACAGGAAGGATGAGAGGAACGAGGTGAAAGGAGAAAGAAAAGCAGCCCTTGAAAAACTGCTCAAAAACTCAGATAACTCGTATCAGAGTTCGGCTTGTCTGTGAAGTTCGGCTTGTCTTCTCCATACCTTCCTAAACATGAAATATTCCATCTGAAAGCAGGCAGGGGAAAGATGGATAAGAATATTTTGTGTCCAGCCATGCTCCACGGGCGGGCTGCTGTGGAAATCAGGCTGCCAGGTAAAGACCACTCAGGGAGTCCTCACAGGGCAACCACCTGCAAAGCAGGATTAGGGGAAATCATCCAAAAAAAACCAAAGGTGTTTCCTTGAAGGTCCCAATAAAGGGGGGAAAGCAAGTGATAGGAGACAGGAAGAGATTAAAGGAAGATGATGAGATATTTTCTTACTGCACTGGCAATGTATTTCCAACAGAGTATCCCTTCTTTCCACCCCTGGGCTGGTCCCTCCCCAGGTGCTTTGCTGTGCAGGAAGCCTGGTCCTAAACCGAGCCTAAATTCTTCCAGCTTAGCCTTGTTCAACCAGCAACGCTGCCTTTGGAGGGACAGGAGCTCCTAAATCTCTCCGTGCTCACTCAGTGTTCCCGGAACTCTTCCTGAGCTTTTTGTTCTTGGTTCTGTTTGGATTTTGGGAGTGATTCGAGTTTAATTTTTAAGGAGCAAGGCGGAAAGTTTCCCGGCAAATGTACTTAATGTCACTTCATTTGGCAAGGAGTGTTGACCTCCTTCCTTATCCAACTGAGCAAAATTGAAAAGACAGTTGAGAAAAAAATTAAAAAAAAAAATAAATTGATTTTGGAGATTTTCCCTGAACCCAGTTTTGAAATGCAAAATTCTCTGGAAAAGAGGTTTATTGCTCAGAAGCCCACTCAGAGCAAGAACCCTTTTGCATGCCACAACTGCTGGCACGTGCTGCCTTTTGCTCTTTCAAAATTAATCTTGCTGCATTTGTTCTCTTGGCAGAAAGATTCCCAGCACATGTATTTAATGACCCCAGCCACCCCTTCAGAACCTCAGATATAAGTAATGGATTTCTGTGACCTGAGCTGTGTTGTTTTATGTCGGATCCAGTCATGCCAGGCATGGGGACAACCCAAAATATAGCCCTTTGCTTCATCTTGGCACGGTTTGGGAAAGCAGAAATCAACCTGCAGAGCCCCAAGGATGAGCACACGAAGCAGCAGGACGTGCCCACTTACTTACATTATAATCCCATCTCCTGTTCTCTTTCCACACTCTGCTGCTTTCCAGATTTTTGCCCTCGAGGTACCTAATTTGCTGCTAATGTTGTTATAATTACAGTTAATTGGAAGAAGAGGAGGGAGAAGTGTGGGTTTTTTTTTTTTTCCACTGAAAATAATGACATCTGTAGGGAGAGGGGGAAAAAATGAAAAAACTGAAAAATGGATTTGTGGAGCTCTTCAATGAAAACCAGACAGGGGGGGGAAAAAAATTAAAAAAAAAAAAAAAGTCAATTAATTGACATCTTAATTTTCCTGGAAAAAATCCCAGATCCTAAACATTTCTGGTATTAGCCTGTTCTCAGTGCATATGTTACATGAGAAATTACCAGTGCTCCCGAGTAGTTAAGACAGATTTAATTAGCAGCTTTACCATCCCCGTTGGGAATGAAAATGTGATTATTTTCAGCATTTTTTTACTGATACATCTCTATTTCTGCTACTGCAATGTACCAGGAAGGCCATCAGCACACCTGTGGTTTCTGAACTGCACAGCCTGTCAAGTTGCCTGTTTTGGAAAGGCGCCGCTTTTAAAAGTCAACTTTCTCTGCCTTGCACAAACGTGGCCCTTTTGGACCAGGTTTTCTGTGGTGTCCTCTTGGATCTCCTCAGCCCTGGGGGTTTGAAGTGAGGGAGGAGGTTACTGTGTAGCAGCAGATTCAAAACCCTGCTGGAAACATTTCACTCTTAATGTTTCTCTTGGAAGTGAAACGCTGCCTGCACTTGCACCTGTGTTACCAGAGGTGTGTCACAGCATCTCCAAAATGTTTTGGAACTTCAGGAAGCACGTGTTACACCAGCAATAGCGTATTTCCCTTCTTCAGTTTTGTTTTTTCCTAGCTTGAGTGAGTTACTCACAAACATGTGGTTTTTTTGAGCCACAGACACCTGCTTAGCCACAGGTACTGCTGCCTAATTGTTGCCTCTGTCATACTTACCTGCTCTCCTAGGAGCCCTGCTGAATGTCAGCTGAGCTTTTTAGAAGTCTGCAAAGGTTTTACCGGGGTAAATTAGGTCATTAGACCCTAATGTTTGCTGTCAATAAACCATCAGGACTAGATCAAAGTTGAGAGAAACTACTAGTGCACTCTGGTATCTCGACACTCTTTTGCTTCTTCACTCCTGCTGCCACTTGTAGTGAATTGATTCCAGTCTTGTAAGGATGTATGGATGTAGGGGTGTGTGTGTGTGTGAAAGTGTTACAAAACAGAGGGAAATGAATCACAAGTGAGTAGTTTTTCTCAGGCTCAAAATAATTCCAGTGGATTTCCTCGTGCAGATTCAGCCCCGGAGAAGGGAGCCCAGCGCTGACAGCCCGAGACCTGGAGAAGTGTAAACCAAAGGCTGCAAGCAAGTCTTCCAACTTCATTATTCCGTTTTCTTCTGGGTTTTTTTTTGGTTGTTTTGTTGGGTTTTTTCCCCTCAGCTCCTTATCTCCTCAGTGCATGTGATTTATGTGTGGTGAAATCCCTGCAGGGACAATAGGAAAGCAGATCATACAGGCTGGTGATCCTCAGGATCCCGTTAAACTCTGCTGGGAAGCGTTACTGCCCTTTGTTCTGGAGATGCTGTTTGTGCTGCCTGTGAGAATCTGCTAAAGAGCCTTATGAGAAAAGATGCAGCCCTTGCTGGGGATTCAGGCTGTCACATCTGCTTCGAATCCCAGAGCTTATAAACCAAATAGTGTTGGGATTTTGGTTGTTGTTGTTTGAGAATTATAAGAAGGGGGTTTGTTTGATACCAGGGAATGATTTGTTGATACCTCATCTCGAATCCTGTCATCTTTTTCTTGGTTGGTAAAAAGGAAATCTGCTTCAGTGTTTGAACACATTTGTGTAATTGTTATCAGGGTTCCAGCGATGCCAGGCCAGGTAAAAGGTGCCCCTTTATGAGCCCAGCTCAGCTCTCATTTTGTTTTGGCTCTAGAATTATATGAAAAAAAAGTAACCACAAGGTTTTTTCTGTGTGCACTTACTTGTATCAGAAGAACTTTAGTAGAAATATTTAATGGGTTTAACTCCTCGGTGAATATGACTTTATATTTCCAAATAATTCTTGTAATGAATTTGAACATCATTGTGTAACCTCTAACTGAAGAATAAAACCTGTGTTTTTTTTTTAAGTGGAATTGTATTTAGATGATTAAATTTTGTCAGAAAATTGTGGTATGGGGATGTTCACCAAATATTACTTCATAATCTACTTGCAAGATTGTCTCTTCCCTTCAGGCTTTTAAGAAGGCAGCTGCTGGGAGACAGGTACCTGAACCTGCTGGGACCCCACCTGAAAGAAGAATCCCATTTTTGCACCGTGAAGCCACAGGAGAGTCCTGCCTGCTTTCCTGATAGCTCAGGAGCAGTTAACGTGCACTGGGGTTCCCACACAAACAGTTTTTGCAGCTATGCAAAGACAGAGTCGTCAGCTGCGAGATTGCCTGCCCGTGTCGTTATTTCTGCTTTTGGAACAGGTATTTCCATTCCCTTCCGTATACAAAGGCCTGTGCATTGAATTAAGAACCTTCCAGGATTAAACATGTGCAGCATTTGATTTTGGGCTCAGTGGGGAGCAGTCCATGGGAAAGGATTCTTGTGCTTTTAGGCTGTAGAGCGATGGTGCCCACACGGATCCAAGCAATGCCATTCCTACCCCACAGTACGGATTCGGGGGGAATACAAGCAAAGCACTGAGCAGAGCAGCCTCTGGAGGGAAACTGCTTTTCCATGAGCTATTGAAAGTCAGAGTTTGACTGCAACACTGGCTACAGAATAAACTCCCGGGTCTCTGTAAGACAGAGAGAGAGAGGAGTTTTTATCTGTGCATGACTTTGGAGCTGGCCTGCAGACACCACAGCAGCAGATAATTTAAGCGGCAAACAATGGAACTGCGCTACTCCCGATTGGTGATTTGGCTAATAAGGGTGAGATCATGGAAAATGCTAATGAGGTGCCTTCGGAAAATCCAATTATAATGTAACCCAATTCAATGGGAGCTCTCAGCAGGTGCCCAGTGCTGTGGGCACAGCACCCCACGCTCAGAGGCGCCGTGAATGCCCCAAACAGCCGAGCTTCTGTGTGAGCTCTGGGGGGAGGCAGCAAGCCCCTGTTTCATTCAGTCCCACTGTTTCCCCTCAAACCGACCAGGCAGGTTTGCTCCTGCCCTTTGTGGTGCTTAACTCATCATCTGACAGCTTGTGCAAGCATTGTCTGCCCCAGCAGACGATTCAACACGGGCTATTCACTGGAAGAAAACGGTGTTTGCAGGGCTACCTTTTTTTAACTCTGCTCAGTAACAGGCTTTTAATGTTTGTCAGGCTTGGGCACAGCACTGAACTTCAACTCACACAGATCCTAACCCCTCTTAGTATAGGATATTCCTTTTTTTTTGTTACACTAGATTATTTGTATCTTTTAAAATGCCTATGAAATGCCTGTAAGCTGCTTTTCCTCTTGGTTTTCTTGGAGTGATGTATGTTTCCCAAATGCAGGTGCTGCCCCAAAGGACACGCTTTCTGCAGTGACCCAGGCAACTTGGAGAGGGTGAGTTATTTTAGTTAAAATCAACCATGGTGTTCTCAACAGGCCTTTTTCCTTCCCTGAGCTTTGCCATAAATGGATATCAGCACTCCCAGTTCTCCCTTAAAACCTTAGTGTCTTTGGGGAGTTTTTGTCCCTTTCTTTTTTTTTTTTTATTCCTGTGGTGATGAGACACCAACATATCCATGACTTGACGTTTTTTGTTTTAAGTGACCGCTATTTTGCTTCCCAAGTATTTTAAGCTCTGTGCCTTGCCGAGAATTTGTTGGTTTAAAATAGTCTTTTTCTTCTGAAGGCCTGAAGGTCCATTGGTGACACACAAGTCAATGTTTATTCCATTCCATATCTATTTCTTTCTACTTTTGTACTTAGATAATGTGTGGCATGATAGGAAGATTTCCTATAATAAGTATGTTGCCTGTCTTTATAAATCACTAAATGCCATCTCTCCTTAGTCTCAGGCAGTCATTTGTTTTAGGAAGACAAACTTGTTCCTTTGAAATGGCTGATAAAGTTGGGAGCTGTTTTAATGGCCTGGGAACAAGAGGAGCTGGGTTTACGGTAATGCTGTAGACAAAATCCTGACGTTTTAAAAATGATTTCTGTATTTTAACTTTGCTGCGAGAATGAGAGAGGAATTCCCCTGATTTGTGCAGATGCAAGTTTAAAGGTCTGCAAGACACCACAGGGGTGGAAAGTACTTTTTTTTTTTTTTTTTTTTGATTAATAAAACACTTTCCCACCAGGAGCCAGGATGCTGGGGAACGCTGTGTTTTGACTTACACAGCCCCGCTTCCACCTGCCCTATAAAAGGGAAACACCCAGGTGCTTCCTGCCCAAGGGCTGCTGGTGTGGGAGGCAGAAGGTCCACGCTGGCCACCAAACGTGCCGTGGGCTGGAGGTGGTGGGAGCAGGGCTGAGGCAACGGGGGCAGCAGGAAGGTGGCAGTTCCTCCTGCAGTCTGCTGATCGCTGGAGGAGTTCAGACCTTGCGAGGCTGAACCTGTGGATTGCCACTTTATCGGTCCAGTGGGAGACACCAGACCAAGGGGGGTCTGGTCACCAGCCAGATTATGTCCCTATGCTGAAAGTTAGGAGAAACTGCCCTTTTCTGAAGATTGAAATCAGAGCTGGTCTTTTTGTAACTCCTGTTCTTCTCCCCTTCCTCTCCTCAGTGCCAAATTTGCAGCCTGTCCTGTATAGTCATGACGCAGCATGGACTCTGTGGAAATCATGTCAGAAGAAACAATCCTGGTTATGCCAAATGGAAGGGATAAGCAAGGATAGCAGAAAAACACACTCATCAGCACCAAAGAGCAGGATATTTCAAAGTAAGTCCTTCCTGCATAAGTGACCTGTTCACACATCAAAATAGCTTTGGAGGGGCAGTGAATCACCCCTTATTTTCAGGGTTCTTGTAGGAAGGAAAAGCTGTACAGGAGAAAAGCTGATTTCTTAAGAACTGGGATAGCAATACTCTCTCAGATTGGCAGCAGCAAGGGAGGGATTACTTTATTCCCTGTTAAAATTCCCCTGTGGTCAAGAATTAAAGTGAGAGTGGGGATGTCAAACAGGCGACTTGGAGCCTCCAGTGATGCACTTCTAGAAGGAAAGGGAACTTGCTAAAATCAGGTTTGAGGCGTCAATATTGCATTAGAGTTAACTAAAAGCAGGCTGGAGTCTGGCTTAGTAATGCCAGCAGAATTGTTTGTTCACAGGGATTGCTCCTAACCCTTACTGCTGATAGTTAAAATTCAAAGAGTGTGTGTGTGTGATGTTGTTATCTCCCTGCTCATGGCTCCTGAAGAGACACCTGACTTCCCTGAGGTTTGGGGTGTGGTGGGGTCAGGGCGCTGGAGCTGCTTTTCTCCCCCTGTCTGATAAATTAATAACACAGCACTTTGAAGCGCAGCTAAGAAAGAGCTGCAAAACCAGAAGACCTCCCCACCAAATCAAACCCACTGCGTTGCAGGGTGACCTCTGTGCACCTCAGTTCTGCATTACCAGGTATCTGTTAGGCAACTGAAGGAGAAAAAAAGCCCCCAGATATAAAAAAAAAAAGGGCAATTAATCTGAATGTGCTGTTAATTTAATAGTATTCCCACGTGGAGTCTTAGTGCTACTATTCACAAGCTGACCATAACTTCCTACTGTTCCACAGGTGCTTGTGACAGGCTCCACTTTGCATGCTCATTCCTTTGCAGTCCTTTACTTTGGAGTCACAGCAAACTTGTCTTTTCTTTGAGTCAGATGAGGTTTGCAGAAAGTAAAATTCCCATTGGAAGAGAACTTGGAAAGGTGGTGCTCTACTGCCAGGAAACCTTTCCCAAATAACTGAGTTCTTATTAATAGAAGTTTTCCCTTTGATGAATGCAAACATTCAAGCTGTAGCCTGTTGTGTGGCTTTCTGTATCTGAAAGGACAGATAAGGGATGTGGGAAATGCAAACAAAAAAAACCCTCTGAGTAGTACCAGGAAGGGGGAGGATATTAATAAGAAAGGAATATCCCTTATGAGTTTCCTGTTTGTTCTTATTCTTTCAGAGTATTCTGCCCAAATTTGTTTAGTTTCTCTATGTAAACATCACTGTTGTTTATGAGCAGTATTTCATTTCACGTTATTTGGATCAGCTTGATCATGTGAAGACTGTAAGCCTTTCTTCATCTGGGCAGAAAATGATGCAGGCATTGCACCTCGATTTGTGTGTGCTGCTGGGTGTGACACTGGCTCAGCCTTTCATGACCACCAAGCAGATGCCATTCATCTCAGGCAATTGTTCTCAGAATTAATACATTTCAGTTGCAGGCATCTAAACCTCCACTAAATTCTTCAGGCTACTTTAAACTTTGACATGTTAGT